TCCTAACTCCCTGATCATGCAGTGCAGACCACCTGATGCAACAGTCCAAGTGAATTATAAACTCTGAAATTAAGAGTGGGTTTTTTTAAAATAGCTGCACTTTTCACAGGAACACTGGATTTGCCTACATCAAATCATATAACTACTAGTGATACCTTTATGGAGAATGACTAATTATTTTGTAGCTACTTCTACTAGCCATAAGGGAAAAAAATAACCCAAAATAAAACACATGGCATGAGATCCAACATTATGAGCTTATCATAAAGGACATACTGAGAACATTATTTAAATTTCAGTTTCCACCTTATAGAAGACTGATTCAAACAGAAATAAAGAAATAAGCCAGTTATTTATTTAGATGTGGCAGCTGCATCTATCCAACATGCCACACCCCAACCTGAGGTAAATCTCTACTCCATGTATACAGCCTGTTTTCATTGTGACATAGCTTTCAACAGGGAAAGGAAATATTCTTTTGCTCCCACCAAAACATTTTTTTTAAATGTGGACTAAAGCAAATTACGAGTTTACATAATTTCATAAATCATAAAAAGCAAAACATCAAACCCACCGCACTCAAACCTGCAGTACTTGGGCACAAACTGCCTGTTTCTAGCAAAAATATACATCATATAATCCTATTTTCAAAGAGAAAATGCCTTCAGCATCCTAATAGCTATTCTCAGAGCACAAAACCCACTAACAAAACAGACAAGCAGCAATACTAGTTAAGGTTTTCGGAACACAGCATAGCAGTCCCACATGAGCATTATAAAGCCTCTAGCCTGTTTTTTTTTCTAGCAGTTTGGACTGGAAAAGTATAGTGTATGTTTTCAAATCTCAGGTGTACTTATTGATAAATAGTCATGTATTTAGAGGTCAGTTAACTTACCACAGCCTTCTTTTCTAATGGAGATGGTCATTTCAGTGTTGTATATTTGTTATCAACCCAGTTGTGTGTAATTTCACATTGTACACACTAGAGAAACACAACTACTCAATTTCACTAAAGTGAAGCTGTCAATTACTGAAAATGTAACAGGCAGGCACAGGAGGAAACTACTTGCCACGCTGATGCCTCTCCTGACTGATTTTGACTATGCCTATTAACCTCTTGCAACCTCATCATCACACAGATCACATTTTGCACACATACCAAAGATCAAAATACAAGTTTCTTCACTTTGTCAAGCAAGTCTAGCTCCCCCTGTCTATATTCCCAGCTGGAGACACCACCATATATTGTTACTGCAATGGATGCACAAGCTTTGGATCATCACACAGCTCAGAAACACTGTAATTGCCATCAGTGGGAATACCCCCAGATTCAGACTGCCTCAGATTATCACCCTGCAATTACTTAAAACCAACATAAAATAACACTGTCATAGAAAAGAAAGGGTCGTATTCCCTTCATCTCCCACCACAGTGTAGATCGTGCTGCTTATTCTGGTGGCAGGGCCAGTTTCTGTGGACCTACAGCATTCATCAGATGAGTCTCAGAGCACAGTAAACTTCAGCCTCATCTTTCTACACTACCTTTTCTGTGACTGTTGAAACCATAAATAATTGTCCAGAACCTCATTACGTTAGAGACTGTATGAATACAGAGGAGAAAGACTGCTTCTTCTTTGGCATATTCTCAGCCAAAGTAGAAAATGTTTACAGCAAATGCTAATACCCTTCTGCAGATATTTCTGTGTTCATAAAAACTGCACCAGCTAAGTATTTCCTTCATACAGTAGTTGTATTTCTCATTTACTTGCTGCAATTCCTATTTTCAATATAATTGTTTTAAAATCAGTTCTCTTGGAATACTCTATTTTCTGGAAGAAGATTGAACTTTCTTGTGTCCAGATCATATCCTGGTCAACATGTTCAAATGCCTAGTTCTATTTTTTTCAGTAAACAGTAAATCAGGTGAACCAATTAACTTCAGAGGTATACTTAGTTATGAATGGCACACATCAGGGAAGATGGCAATAATACTAAAGATGGAAAATGAACAGCCGTATTAACAGCAACAGGAAATAATTAAGGAAACTGAACAAAGGAGTTGTGAGAGAAAATTAAAAGGACTAAAAATAAGTCTATTTTGCTGTGAAATAACTATCAGAGGAAAGGAATTATACAATTCCCCATATGGTTTTGCTTCATTCTGCCCCCAGGGGCACTCTGTCCCTGTTGTGAAGTAAAAACAGTTTCATAAGAGAAACACACAGAAGTAGGCAATTTGTCTCTGTTTTTTAAGACCATTCTCCTTGGTTTCACTGTGAAGAAGAGCTTTAGATACGAAGATCCCATCAGCTTCTCCTATTTCTTAGAGAGAAAATATGACTGTTGAGAATGTAGCCCAAACAAAGAGCAATAGTAAGTACTGGAATTAGACAGATTTTAAACAGTTTGCTCCAGAATTGTGTATATAAGAGTCATGTAATTTTTGAGGCTATTAAGCGCTACTGATGGTCTATTTTTAGGTTTTAAAATTTCTTTTCTTGTTCCTATACACATGCTCTGATTCCCTCTGCCAGGCATTTTCAGAACATATTGAATGCACACCAACAAAATCATGATAGTTTGAAAGCACGTCAAGCAGCTACCACTTTATTTTAAAATGCAGAAGAGAGTTATTGGCAGAATCACCTTCTTAAAGTAAATGTAGATGCTAAAGCAGCTTCCCAGAATGTGAAAGATGGTGCCAATGTCTCTTTTTTTCCAGAGAAGATTTAATAGTCATGTTTCCAGAAACTACCTTAATCCCATTGATATATCCATGAGAGCAATCTGTGTTCTCTGCCCTAAAAGTAATTCAAGATCCACAGAGTCAGACGAACAGCATAAAGGATATCAGTGCCTCTGTACTGCATAACAGACAATCTGAGTGCTAGTATCTGCTCCTGTTTATGCACTTAACTTGGAAGGGTTATTGGAGAAACATGTAAACAGTCCTTGAAGCTAGATCTGGAATTCCGTAGCTCTCCTTCTATAACTGTGGGTCTGGTCTAGCTAGAGGTGAGATTTCAAACTCACTAAAGGCTCTGGACATGTTCTCTGAAAGCCTGTTAGGAAGCTTGTTACTTTACACCTTTGCTTGGTTTCCTAGACACACTATATCTCGGACCACTTTTCTCCCAATCTCTTAACATTTCCTCTCTGACAGAAACTCTGCCTCCTTTTTGTACACTGTCCCTCGTTGCCCTTCAGATCTGACACTAAACCCTAAAATAGAAACCAACAATTTATAAGTTTTTACCATTAGACTTTCAAATTTAACTCCCTGGTGAGATTAAGGATAAATTCAATGTCATTAATTGTTCTATCTGTCCTGAGCCAAGAAGATCATAAAAGTTTAACTTACAGTCGTTCTGCATTTAGAATATTAGCTAGATGAGTAACAATTCAGTTTTCATTAGCAATATTAGTAAACATGGGCACTGCACTAAGAGGCTAAATGCCTTTTAAAGGTCACATAACTACACCAGACAGTTGAAATGCATTACATCTCCAGATTACAAACTATGCAATGCACAATGTAATGATAAACATAAAGATTACTGAAAGTCAATTTAAAGTACACTTGGAGATTCTCCAGCATAAAAGTTAGAAAAATTTCAAAGAAATGGTTTTATCAAGCAATTACCCACATGACTACTTTTTAATGAACCGTTTCACGTGGGACGTATTTGGCAGGAGAAAAGGCTGGAGCAGAACGCATTTTAATCATCTTTACCTCCTCAACATTGCCCCGTGTGCATTACACACCAAGTAAACTTGATTACAATCTCAAGTTCATCTTAAACAATAATTCAGATAAATTTAGTGTGGCTATAGATACTTGCTGCCTTCACAATCACAAACTCTCTCCTAGTAGAATTAAATAATGAGCAGATTATAAAGGGTAAAGGCTGACATTCTTCCCAAGTAGGTGCCTAGCAATTCCTACAGCATGCCTTTGCTGTTTGTATCTATACTGACAGCTGAACTTCCTGTCTTTGCGTCTGTCCATAAGACATTCAGGAAGGAAGCTTTATATCTTTACATGTTTTCCATGAAGTACTTTGATGACTAATTTCTAGAGTACTGAGTCACATTGACATTTCACATACTCCCCCCCCATCCAAATTGTTATTGTTCTCCCTACTCCACTTTTCCCATTGTGACATGCCTTCTCCTCATTTAAACAGTATTTAGATTTTCTAAAACATAGTTAGCTAAAATTTATATTTTTTTTTTAAATACAGGCTAGTATCACTGTTTTTCATTTACACAGTTACTAAAAATGAAGTTTATGTCAATTCAATTTCAAGTAATATATTACAAAAATCACGAATAATATTCTGGGTTTTCGAGGGCTGGGAGTGGTGTGTGTTTGTTACATTGGCACCACTGTAGGCCTCATTCACTACACTCCTCATTGCTCAAGGGTTTTTAGTTTTTTGAGAATTTCAATATACATTGTGAGTGAAATTGGCTTATAGTAGCATCAGCTTAATTTGATTCTCCTAAAATGTCCTCGTACTTCTCAAAATATTAATTGCTTCAAATGTTACATGCCTTAGAAAGATTTGAAATAGCCTGGCAGACCACTCTACCTGAATCAAGCCTGCCTTGGAGCTACTGTAGTGGGGAAATTGCTTTAAAAAACAAGAGCTTTTTTCCAAACTCCAGCTATTGATCAAAATTAACATATTCACCTTTAGGATGGTTTTCTTTCAAAGAACTGTCTTGGAGCTCAAAATACCTTAGTCTGAGATTCTGACAACTAAAGATTAGTTGTATTAGTAATCATAAAAGTATATTCATTGTCCTACTGTTTTAAATTTACAGAGAAGAAGTCTCCCTTTTTGCAGCACTCATCGCTGGACTTTGAATCTAAACATCTTACTACTGCATCTACCACATTCTAAAGAAAGCATACCACTAGACACTCCTTTCTGCCAGCTAAAGAAAAAAAAAATCTCTCATGTAAAACTGAAAGTCTGTTGTAAAGTACTCACCCAACTCCTAGCTACAGTTGTTGAAGAAAGAAAGAATTCCTGAATATGATCCTCCCCTACTAATTCACGTTGAAGGGGTGTGGTGTAAAACTACAAAGGCAGGATTGCAACCTGATCTTCCTAGAGCAGGCTCCCGCTGGTGGATTAATCAGTTAATCCTTGTTCTCGCTTTTTGTAGAGCACATGCGTTCACTCTGGGTAGAATTCAGAGATCTGCAGCAGCTGCAGGGACACTTCCTGTCTGAAGTTTTCTGATCTCCCTGCAGTTTAGAGCAACTGTTTTCTAAACAGCCCTAGCTCAAATTAAACACACTTTTAAAGAATGACACAGTCTGTATGATATTCTATTCATTATACCTTGCAGGCTTTGATACAGCTCCTGAGGATGCCATATTAATTGGCTATTTAAGAAAGATACGTTGTGGTTTACTGTTGGGTTTTGTTTGTCTGTTTGTTTTTAAATAAAGCCATGCTATTCACTCTAGATCCAGGCTGCATTCATCACAGTATCTGGAGCTGTACTACAAAAGCTATTCTGCCTTCAGCTAGAACATACCATCTATTTACAAATCATGCTATTATATACTAAAATTAAAGTTAAGCATCATCAAGAGTACCATGGCTGAATACAGGGACGGGGACTCTAGGTATAAGACTGAGACCTTATAACTTGTGGATGTAGAGACAGTTGACCAGGATCTTAGTCCTGGACACACAGGATGAGAATTTCCCAGATAAGGAATTAAACAGCAACAGAGGCAGAAGTAACAGCTGAAGAACAGTAAACTTAACACAGTTAGTAGCTGTAACTAATTGCAATTATTTCTGGGCAAAGACAAACAGGTGAGTTAAATCACTTTCACTGAAGATTTACATTCATCTGCTCATCACCATCCTGAAACAAATTGGAAGTTTCTCATAGTCAGTTAACAGGTTAACTATCTCTTAACACAAACCAAAGTGCTCCTGGCAGCTAGAAGCACTCACAAAGGGGCAGTTTAAATGCTGGGGGTGGGGTTCTACCATACAGTTACTAATTACCAACTTCTAGCTCAGATAAAGCAAGGAGCAACCCAGCTCAGGAGAAGTCAGTTAAATGAAAATGGTCAGCCTGTCATCTGTATGACACCAAGCCTCTGAAAAACAAATTTTGGGGGCCCATGTGTTAAGAATTAGTATCTATCAGTGCTATCCATAAATCTCTTCAAGGGTCACAAGTAAGACAGCCCAAAACAGATATACAAAAATAACACCACGATTTAAAGAAATCTCAGTCTGTAGAGTTCCAAAAAATGACATAATTCCTCATTTTGCTTTTCTTAGAATGCATCTATGTGGATGAACAGAGAGTTTCAAACTTGCTCCACTCTACAAGTCATTCACAGATGACCTGCTTTATTTTTAGTCATACCAGATGCCGAATGATCTGAATTTACTAGTCCATGCAAATATATTCTGCATCTAGGGACTCAACTTGGTCAAAACTTCAAGTGGGCTTTTTTTTGGATTTAATAAGAAATATGTATTTTTTTAAATGAACATGCAAAAAAGAATTTTCAAAGTTTGTGTCATAATGTGTTAGCATCATTCCTTTTTTTCTCACAAGATCTCACTCAAATCACTCAGATTTGGTGTGCAAAATAATAAAGTAATTCTGAAAGAAATAGTCCACACAGACATTAAAAAAAAAGAAAATGCTAGACTTTTAAAAGACATTTTTCTTCTTATGGTCAAATAGGTTGAGAATCACATATAAAGAAAAGTACTGTGGGGAATTTATAAGAGAATGAAACCCCTTATTTTGATTAAAAGTTAGATTAAGAAATCTTTGGTAAATAATAAACCAGGACAAGAGTAAAAATAACACCATGTGCATGAAAAACACATGTCCAAAAGAAAAATTCAAAGGAAACAGTATTTCATTTTAAGATGAATATTTTTGCTTTCTATTCTGTTAATGTCTCTCCAGTTCCCACATGCAGTCCTCCTAATTTAGTTATCAGGAGGGTCTCTGGACTGCTTTGCATTATACCTATAACATAAAAGGCTTCAGCTGAAACTGGAATCAAACCGTGAAGATGGAAACAAAACTGTTTTGAACCTTTAGTGGGATCAAAGAATTCCATTCAGCTATGTCCTGGCCCAGGCAATCAGACTAACCTCTGGCTTGCCCTGAAACCCGCTGATATCTTAAGACAGTTGTCAATAGTTAAAGGTCCACAGTGAAAAAAGTCCCTACAATTCTAAAAAAATATTTTTTGTTGCTTTTTAGAAGCGTCTTTCAAGTTAAGCAAGATGAAATTTGTGAGCTCTAAAACTAGTCACTGAAAAGCATTTTTCTAAGGTCGTACAGGAGTCTAGAAACCTCTCAAAAAGTAAAACTTGCAAATCGCAAAACTCACCAACCTAGCTTCTCCTTAAGACATCACCTAACTGTGGTTATTTTTATTAAGCTTTGTTGCTGTTCTGAAAAACCCAAGAATCCTTACTTAGGGAATTTCTAACCTTTGAGTATGTGGCATTATCATTATGTTCTCTTTTCATGTTTATTTGTCACATATGCTATATGAATCAATTGCCAATACAAAGATTACAATTTGGAAGATCGCCGTTTCACATGACTTCTGAGGTCAACCCACACAGTCAAGCTCTGGCCAGTTATGTAGTAGTAGGAACTGTACACATTATTGAATCAGCGTGAGAAAAGACCATTTATAGCACGTATATCAGCAGGCTAGCTACCAAATTCTGCTTGTTTTTCATAGATTGCACTGGCATGCAGAAGGGCCAGTACAAGCTTAATATTCCAGCCCCCTTTACAAGCTGCTTTCTGCTGTTTTGAAATGACTCATGATTGACAGTCAAAGGCAAGTCCAGAGACCATTTACATGATCTTTCTTCTGTAGCTCAGGAATTACAACCCCAGAACATCACAGATTGGAGAGGGGCAGAAGAGGCCCAGAAGAAAGGTCTGAAGGTCAGTAGACAAGACCAGTACCACTGAATGCATTCCAGATCATTCATATCACCGAGAACTTCCGTAAAGAAATTTGACACGAGCACAGTTTATACTGCATTTCTGTCAAAATAAAATTGACTTACAGCTCCATTTTTCATGACCTCTATACCTCATTATGTATCAGTAAGCACATATATACACAAGTACAACTGAAGTAAACTAAAACAGAGAAGCCATAAAAAAATGCCTTGTACAAATTCTTGCAATACTCAAAGGTACTTTGGCTCTGGAGAGTTCAAAGCTGAGATGATTAGATTTTAGCCATCTGACAGTGCACAGAATTGTTACCCACAAATAATAATAATATACCCACATGGAATAATTAAAAAAAAAAAAAAACCAAACCAAAATGGGGGAAGCTTTATGCAAGAGGTCAGCATCACTACAAGCCTGATGAACGAACAGACACTGCTTGAAAAGGCACACTGGCTGCCATCTGACCACAGGAAAAATCCTTCAACTCCATGTTCTCAACTTGTAGCTCTTACTGTGGAGCTCCTTCTGGTGATTCATAGCTCCACTTTTTCCAACAGCAAAAACAGGAGAGAACATGCCATCCCAGAATACCCCCTATCTTGGAGCTCTGTCTTGACTACTGGTCTGCAGAAGGTAGGTGAGGATAACAACCCTAATGGTAGAAGTTTCAGGATTTGAAAAATGCTTACAACCCACAGGTCAAAAATGACTGACTCTTTCTTGAGTCACACCAGTGACTTCAGGTCAGATACTCCACCCTCCTCTCTCCATCATCTGCCATGGTACTACCACAGCCTATGTTTCCACCACAGTGTGGCAAGCTATTACTGGTTTTACACTGGGAGTATTGTTAGTGCCAGCAAGACATCAGGAAAATGGAAGACAAGGGCTAATAACTAACCTAATAGTTTCAGAGGACTGGGGCAGAATCACTGTCCCCTGGAATGTTTGTCATCAGTTTGGGTTGGTGGTCATGCTGAGACTGAAAGGGGTGGAGGAAGAGACAGTGAACTTTAAATTCTCCTATACTGTGCATCTTTGTTTGTACAAAGTGGATGGGCTTTAGCAGAATACGTTATACTTAAACATAGTGCTAAATGCACAGTGTTCAGAAATGAAGATGATGCACAAGTGTCCAATCTTGTTATTGTTTTACTATACCAGAGCAGAGATAAAGCAGCACAAAACTATATGAAGTTTTGTGTGTGCATATATTATATATATAAAAATGTATATTATTTTTTGAGCTCTATCGTCCCTGAAGCAGGATTTACTACATACCACAGTTGGAAAAACACATAAGCATTTGCTTACACAAGCTGTTCTTCAGGTCATAACACAATTGCCTTTCTCAGTGAGGGTGTGACACTTTAACATAGATGTTTGTGATGTTTTGTTGCCCCCTAGTGATGCCATTTCATTTTTCCACTGCTTAGTTCTTCAAAAATTTCCAGAGGCAAGAGCTTCCTGTCTCCTGCTATCAACAAAATAAATCATAACAATACTTCCACATGGTGCTTGAATTAAATGAAAAAGCATGAGTATTTCTGAAACCTCATAAGGAATCAGATAGCAAGCTTACAGGAAAAATACCACCAGCATAGTTGGCTTGCCTCAGTGAGCTTAAAGTCAGAGCTAAGATGTAGCAGTCACTGTCACCACATAGGGTAAAAGCTCCCAAAGGCCTTTTCCTCAGCACAGACACTAATCTTCTCACACATTAAGTACAAGGTTGTTACTCTTGCAGAATTTATGAAAGCAATGAAAGTTGCTGTTTCCCATATACAATGGCATACCACTACAAACACTTACAGGAGGGGACAGCCAGCTACCTATCACACCCCATGTTTGCACTATTAGTAGTCAGTTTTGTAGTTAAGTGTTACATTATCTTAAAGTTAGCTGATCTTTTTGAGGCCATTGAAGTAGATGCCTGCTTTTCCAGCTGAGGTCACCTACATGGTGATAACATTCAACTTCAAAACCCCCATCAGGTTCTAAAAGAGGAACTTAAGTTCCTTTTAATAAGAGTTTTGCAAATGGCTCTAATACTGTTTTATATCTGTAGTATTATTTTTATTACGGTCTTTATAGCATTTAGTATTTAAAACCCACCTAAATATACATGAGAGGAAGTGAAAGTGAAGGATCTTCTCCAGTGAAAGGAAGATCAGAACCCAGCAGCTGGCCCTTG